AGTTTATAACTATAGTTATAATAGATTAGCTTAAAGCTTTTTATACCTATATTTAGGTTATAAAACTTAATAAGTTAGTCTTTCTCTTTATAGATAACTTCTTTATATATATTACTATAGTTAAACTTATACTACTACTACTTACTTTCTAGATTAAGTTTCTTTTACTTAATATAATATTAATCTTCTAACCTATAGATTAAAGTATTATTAATAGCTTTAAGAGTTATTATAAGTATAATTACTTAGCTTAAATTACTACTATCTTTAAGAGGAATATTTATACTAATCTTATTAAAGAGATAGATCTCTAAATTACCCTTTATTAAGTAATAAACTATTTCTTTTACTTTCTTAGACTAAAAATAATTAGAATATCTTAAGTAAAATTAATACTTATAAGTAGAGAACTATTACCTTAAAGCGTTTAGTTAAGTAATCTTAGTGATCTAATATAGCTATTTACTTATATAATATTATTAATAAGACCTAATAAGATATTAAGTAAGTTTTTATATCTAAAAAGTAAAAACTTCCTATTTAAAGAGCTTAAAGCTATAAAAAAAAAACTTAAAATTATAAGAATTAAATATTATAAATCTATTATACTTAATATATTTAATAAATACTTTAAGGAGTTAAGTATATATATAAATAGTAAATAGGTTATTTTAGCTATTATATATCTTAAAGAAGTAGTTTATAATATTATTAACTTCTTAAACTTTATAGAGAAGAAGAACTATATTTTATAAAAAGATATAGATATTTTTAGAAAGCTTAAGTTAAGGTTACTTTAATATTAAAAAGAGGAAAATAACCTAAGTATAATTACTAAATATAAAGGAACTATAATAGATATATAGATATAGAAAAAGGTAAGCTTTCTATAATAGTTATATTATAATAATTATATTATAATAATCTCCTATAATCTTAAAACTACTTAGTATTAAGAATATATTAATTATTATATCTTTCTTTTTATAATATATTAAAAATTCTACTTTATACTTTTCTATAAATATTCCTTTTATTACTATTAAGTTTTATTTATTTACTCTATCTATTTAAGAGAAAAGAGAAACTAAATACTTAAAATATTACTTTATTATTAAATTAATTTTATACTTTAAAGTATTAATTTATAAATATTAATATCTAAAGCTAGAGAGGTATTAAAGCTAGTTTATACTTATAGAAGTATTAAACTATATTTAAAACCTCTATATTAATAATATAGATCTAATTAATATTATGCTAAATTTTAGTAGGACTAAGAAGTTTAACTTAATTCTTCTTTATATTATTTCTAACTTTACTAAGGATATCTTAGATTTACTTTTATACTAATATATAGAATAAGAATTACTAACTATAGGTATAGTTTATAATAAGATAACTTTTTAAAACTTATATATATTTAATTCTAAAATTCTATTAATTTAAAAATCTCTTATTAGGTTTTATATTCTTATATATTTTCTCCTAAATATCTTATTATTTCTATTTCTATACTTAATATACTTTCTATAAAACTTTTTTTTTCTTTCTACTAACTATTATAGTATTAAACTTCTAAAGAACTAAGAGAAAGAATATTTCTTTAAGTATAAGGAAGTTTTATACTTATAGAAAAATCCTACTTAGCTTTATAATATTAGCTTCTTTAAAAATCTCCTATATTTTCTCTAGGAATTAGTAGAAATATAATAGCTTTAGCTAAAATAAGTTAAGTATTATAAGCTATATTACTTAGAATTATTAATAACTAATAACTAAGGTTTACTATAAAACCTTAATAAGAATACTTAAAAAAAAGAATTATAAAATACTTATATACTAAATAACTTTAAGGATAACCTTTATCTTATTCTAAAAATACTTACTTAGTATATCCCTTCTATTTTATTTATTAATCTTAAAGTTAAAATTATTTATAAACTATATTAAGAGGTTTTATTTAAACTCTATTAGTTTATATAGAAGTATATCCTCTTAGCTTAACTTATAATTATCCTTAATAATATATTTAGATTAACTATTATAAGAATTAGTCTTTAAACCTTAGACGTTTATATAGTATAAAATAAAAGAAAATTAATAAAAGTTTATTTTAAGCTAAGTTAATACTTTATATAAGTTATTAAAGGATATTTATATTTTATACTTTAGTTTTAGAGTAGATCCTCTTAATATCTTAGAGTTAGCTTAAACTTTAGTATTAAGTGAAAATATTAACTATAGTAATATAATTAGGATAAGTAATATAAAATAAGGGTTAAATTAAGCTAAGTAATAACTACTTTCTATTCTATATTCCTATAAGTATTTTTAAAGTATCTTTTTCTAAGAGAACTTATATATCTTAATAAACTTAGACTTTTATTTATTAGATTATAACTTCTTACTCTACTTTACTTAGGGAATCTTAATTTTAGTGTTCTTATATTATTATTTTCTTTATATATATTATCTTAATATTTAGATACTACTTTAATTAATAAAACTTAGTTTCTATACTAATTATATTATAAATTTACTTCTATACTTTTATTATATAAAGATTAATAGAATAATCTCTAGTAGCCTTTCTTTTCTCACTAGCTTTAGATCTAACTAAATAACTTATAAGAAAGATTATTATAATAACTTTATAGATTATTATAATAATATTATAAATATAAACTATAAATATATAGTAGTAATAATATTTCCTAAGGTATATTATATAGTATAAATTAAAGATATTTTATAATAAGTACTTAGAGAGATATTTATCTTTATTTTAAATATATTTTATCTTAATTATAATAAGAAGAAAGATTAATTATAAATATAAAATTAATTTTATATAATATAGATATATAAACTATATTAGTATATTATATAATTTTTATAAAGTAGGTAGCTATTACTATAGTAATAAAAATAGGTTTATTACTCTTACTACCTACTAAATATATATATATAACCCCTCTTTTTAATATCTATTACTCTATATATTCCTCTTTCTTTTTTCTCTATAATATATTATAACTATAATCTTATTTAGTTTATTTTATAAATAGCTATATAAGTTTTACTATTTCCCTTATTTTTACCTATTTAGAATCTAATTTCTTCTAAATATCTTAAATCTATAATATCTTTACTTACTATATTATTTAATATAAGCGCTACTAAAAATACACCTAAGTAGACTACTTATAAGTATAACTATAAGATTACTACTATAGCTACTAAAAAGACTAATAAAAAGCCTGCTTATAAAATCCCTACCTATATTATAGGAAAGTATATACCTACTTACTACTATAAACCTAAATATAAGTTAGATTATTATAATTTATTTTAGTTATTATAATATTAATATCTTTTAAGTTACACTTTATAAGAAATTTATTAATACTAAGCTTCTTATAGTACCTTTATCCCTAAAGCGCCCTTTTAGCACCTTATTAAAGAAATTATATATAATAAAGTTAATATATTTAGTCTATCTTATTAATAAGCTATAGCTATAGCAGCTCTTTAAGAAGCTATTAAAGTAACCTTAATAACTATATTTAAAAATATATTTATTTATTCACTTTTTATTCTTTTACTAACTTATTTTTAATATTTCTATATATAGTAATCTATATTAAGAGAGTTACTATTAAACCTATAGATATTAACTTTATTAAGAAGATTTATATAATATCCTAAAATATAAGATATTTATAGCTTAATAATACCTAAAAAGGTACTAAATTTTATTCTTATTCTATTATTTTATTCTACTTATATTTATTTAGTTTATTATAATAAAATTAAGTAGAAGTAGAAAGATATTATATATATTTAATTCTATTTTATAATTTATAATACCTTAAAGTTAGATCTTATTATCCTATTTAAATAAGTAAGTAAGATAATATTTTCTAAGAAAAGTAATAAAAAGAAATAAGATATTATAAAGAAAAAAAAGAAAGCTATAATAAGAAAAGCTATAATAAAGCTAAAGAAGAAGAAAAGAACTAATTATAAAGACTTAATTTCTACTATTAGCTCTAATTATAAGAGCAATATAATTTTAAATAATACTCCTATATAGTTACTTTATACTAATAATTAGCTTAAAGATATTAAGCTTAATAATATCTCTATTAGAAATCCTTATATTTCTAATACTACTAAAGAAAATGCTTAGTATAGTAATATTTTTATAGGAAATACTAAAGCTACTAATAATCTAAAATAAGATATTATAGCTACTAATAACTATAATAGAAACCTTAAGATTTCTATTAGCTATAAGGAAAATCTTTTTAGTAGTAATATAATAAGTAATAATAATAGAGAAAAAGCTACTAAATATAACTATAATTTTAAGGATTTTAAGTATTTTAAAATCTTTAATAAAGAAAGTTCTAATACTAAGTTAGTAAATACTTTTAAAAAAGTAGTAGAAAATACTATATATTAACTTAATATTAATAATTTAGTATTTTATAATACTTTTTAAGAGTAAATAGATAACTATTCTTAAATTAATAAGAATAAAACTAAAACTAAGACTTAATTAATAATAGTAAGATAAGATAGTTATAAGACTATATAGTAAAGAATAGCTTAGTTTAAATAAATTATTTTAAGAATTTAGTAATAAGAGTATAACTATATTATATAAAGAGTACTTAAATATAGAAATAATTTTTATAAGATTATTATAATAATTATTATAATGTAAACTTATTTATTTTAAGATAAGTAATTTATATTATTAATAAAATAAATTTTATATAATTAATAAAATAGTTAGTATAATATTTTACTATATCTATTAGAAAGTATATACTTTTAACTTATAAGTATAAGTAGAATCTCTACTTATACCTATATTAATATCTACTTATATACTTAGTAAACCTATCTACTTATATTCTAGGTATACCTATAACCTAACCTATTTAGATAGGTACCTATAGGTATCTATAGCATAGGTAATTTGAAGCCTATTCAGCCCACGCCATACTTTCGTTAGCGGCCCATCCGACTATGAAAAATCCCAACTTCTTGTATAGGCGCTGACCTGCAGTGGTTGCGATCAAGATGATTAGGGCTTCGTCTTCTCTCGAGCGCTCAAGGCCCCATTCCATCAACTTCTTCCCAACTCCCTTGCCCTGCCAATCCGGATGAGTGTTAAGAGTAAGTAGGTTCCAGAACGATTCAAGCGGCGCGTAAGGGTTCCCCGATTCCGAATTCTCCTTGTCGAAAACCGCCTTGCGCTCGCAGTGGAGAGCCTTGTCCAAGTGAAAGTAGTCGACATATCGGTTTTCCCAGTCCACCAGCGTCCTCTCCAAGGCCTTGGCAACCCCGGTGTTGTTGGACCGCCATTTCAAAGTGCGAGGATCATCTTTGAGACCGTTCCACTCCCAGCGGGAGTACCCGATCATTTTCCCGCGAGGCCAGTCTGCAGGGTCTTGGTCGTCGGTGACGCAGACGAATGAGTGAATACCTGGCTTCGCGAGACTCAAGCGCAGGGCGCGGACGATGCGTGCGCGCCAGCATTCTGGGAACTCACGACGGCGAGGGTAGAGCCATACATTCAGCTCCGCGTCGAGAAATGCAGCACTGCCATCCACGATACCGGGGATGTCGGCATGCGTCACGGGCCGTGTATGCATGGTCGCTTTTGGTAGATGCAGGTTGAGGAGAGGGAAAACAAGGTAGAGGAAGACTCCGAGCGGGACCTGCTTGAAGATTGGAGTTGAATGTTTCCAGAAATGTACGTGGAGATCGCTGGCTTTAAGTCAAGGTAAGACGAGGGGTAAATCTGAGCCGTGATTACGCCCTCTTTCCCAGCGTCGCAAATTCGACCATAACGATCCTTAAATGAATCGCGAAGCAGCGTGGCTTCCCGACCCCGATGCCGTGTTCTAGCCTGGCTGCCTACTCGCTTAGGTAGATGCTGGTGTGACTGCAGTGCACTCCAGGGCCTTTTGTAAGTTGGTTCAGGGTCTTTTGTAAGTTCGTAAATGGATTTGAGCCGTGTGATTGGTGCATAGCCAGATCGTATCTAGTAAGGGCGTGATGATGGCAGATAAAGGCGCAATAGCAGGCGATGTACGGAGCCCAGGCCATGCATAAACATGAAAAGGGCGCGCCTAAAACAACGGCGTTGCAAGGGTTGGTGGAATCCTGACTGCTTATGGGACTCGTAATACGGTCCGAGAACTGACGAAGAAAAGTAAAAGACATAAATGCGAGAAGAAAAAAATTCCAGTCTCAAATCTGAACATGAACAAGTCGTCGTAACTGAGAACTTTCGTGATATATATCTTTACTCTCTTGATGAAAGTACGATTCTCCCACCATGGGTAAACGTTCTTAGACTGACACTCCTCAGACTCGGCATCGGGGTCGGCATCGGAACCCAATGAGTGAAAGCGTGACAAATCTCGGGGTGGGGATCATCATACCCAGCACAGGTACCTATGTAGGCTTGACGGCTCGCACTCCAAATGATTCATCAGCGAATGGCTTATACGCAATGGCGGCTCACAAATCGACATTTTGGTCAATCTGCGCGCTTCGATTCACACATGATTGCTTGTAACTTAGCCATGTTTCAACTTGGAGCGAAGGCAGTGTTGCACATGAGAAACACAGGTGTTCACTTCGCATCATTGACGATTGGCTCGGCTATCGCACACGCCCCGGCCACACAGCGGCGCCCTACCATGCGGAAAATACGGCACTGAGGCCTAACTCCCTAGCCTCACTTTCTTTCCCAATGATCTCTTGTTCCTGGACCTTCGTTCACCGTCTGGGAGCTTCTATCGCCAGCTGTTCGCTCCCAGGGTAATTCTCCAGGCTTCTCCCATTGGAGTTGCTGGAAATGCCGACTTCGCGAACTGAGCGCCGTAATGAGCGAAACGTGGAGGAAGCCTACGTGAGTTGAAACAACACAAGCACCTTGTTCCATTGATTCTGATGAACAAGCAGCCTAGCCGCCACCCCTGGCTCCCTGCAAAGATGCGTGAAGGACACCAACACGAGTACTCGAATGCAGATCTGGAAGACACTACTCCAGATAAGAGACGAATTCTTCTTAAAAACTTCGCAGTAGACGGCTCAGTTGAACCCAGATATGCCAATTCAAAGGAAGATGCTGCAACCATATTAGAACTCCATGAGATAATGGCCAGCCACCCGGCCCTTACCCCTCACTCTTGCGCCCACTGTGAAGAGTGGGAAATTGATTTTCGTCATTTTCGACTGAATTACCGAGGTAGCGAAGGTCTGAATCAAGGCGTCCAACATGATGGGCCTGCAGACTGTTTCACTGCTCGATATGCCCAGGAAAAGGCGACGCTCGGTTGTGGTTTCTTCAAGAGAGCTCCAAAAGAACGGCGACCACTTTATAAAAGAAGACAGCAGAAAGATTTGAGCGGAGGTGAAGTTGCATACGTACATGTGCGAGAAGATACTAAGCACAAAATGATATTTCAACTCGCCTGGAAGGGACCTGGTATAGATGGGTATGGGGAGACGTATGAGGTTTACCCTGCGGTTGGTATGATCATCCAACTTCACATTGCAGTAAAAGCAACAACAGATATTGTGCTAATACAATTATGAAGGCGACCAACCTCATTCCGACGCATTAATAGGCCACCTCCCACCAAATCTGGTCTCGAACTCTGAGCTGAGCTACCGTCGTGTCAAAGAATGGATACACGATTGTCAGAGAAGCCACTCCAAGTGCTTGTCCCGATCGAACAAATTCGTCCCCACGAGACTACTTCATGTGTCAGGGAATCCCCAGAATCCAAAGATTAAACTCAAAACTACGCCACCAGTAGCACCTTACGCGACTCTCTCGTATTGCTGGGGCGGAGACCAAGTTGCGAAAACAATACGATCTAACTTTGCGACTTACCAAGATCATATCGAATTTTCTACTTTGCCATCTACGATCCAGGACGCTGCCATAGTCACCATTCAGATCGGGCTGTCGTATTTGTGGGTTGATGCGATGTGCATTATTCAAGACGACGACGATGACAAGATGAAAGAAATCGCAAAAATGCACGCAATCTACCGAAGCTCACGAATAACAATAGCGCCATCAGAGGCGGCTACAAGCAAGACCGGATTTCTCAGGCCTCGAGGCATGTGGCGACCCACCAAGATGAAGGCCCGATTCGATGACAACGTCTTTTCGGACGTTCTTCTGGTCCCAACAGGGAGATCCTGTAGGCCGTTTGCTCCTCTTTTCCAAAGAGGATTGACACTTCAGGAGACTTTGTTGTCCACCCGTGTTCTAGTTTATGGTCTGAGGGAGCTGACGTTCCTTTGTCTAGAGGGCCTCAGATCAGAGTGCGGCTCGCATTTGACAGTCGAGGAGGTCAACTGGGCCTTTCATCCTGGGAGTAAGATCCACGTGAACATGAATCACCCGCAAAGTTGGAATTACCTCATTGCGTCCTACTCCGAGCGCTTTCTCACAGTCGAGGGCGACAAGCTGTTAGGTATAGCGGCGCTGGCTGAAGAATATGGGCGGAGCAAGGGCGTCGATGGGTATTTCGCCGGGTTATGGAGGGATAACTTCCTGGAGCAGGCGCTCTGGACCACAGCGTCGTACACTGGATCTCCCAAACATTCCAAGGGGTACATAGCCCCTTCTTGGTCTTGGGCAAGCGTCAACGGCGAGATCACGGGCTTTGGGGCAACCTTTAACATGCCTCTGGCTTGGCTACCCGAGACAATGCCAGACAACATTACGTGCGAGTTGGTTGATGTCCAGACAACTTTAACAACACTAGAAAACCCTTTTGGTATGGTCAGCGACGGATTCATGCTGGTGCGTGGCAACTTGCGGAGGGTGATCTGGAAAAGCGACCATGGCCAGGGGTCCGCATGGAACGGTACAGGGTGTCTCGCATCAAATACCAAAGAAAGTCTTGAGGGAAGAGAGAAGGTATTTCGGGACCCGCGAATGGCGTTAAGGATAGACCATCAACAAGACTGGCTCGAGGAGGACTTGGTTCTTCTATGGAGCCTTGAGATTTGCAAGACAGATGAGGGACGGGGTTATGCGCTTCTGCTTACAGAAACAGAGGCCACTGAAGGGGCGTTTCGGAGAGTAGGTCGCTTGGAGATAACCTCCACGGATGAATCACTGGGGAACTGGTTCGACACCGAGTACATATTCCGAGAAGTAAGGATATTCTGAGCGACATCATAACAGATGCCAGAAATATCGGAGGGATGCCGGCTGTTCATGTGTGATGGTCATCTTGTGCTCGTTTTGTAGGCAAAGATTACATTCGTGCAGGTACAGCTCCGATTCAACCTCGGAAATACGCAAATCGCTTCGCTATAAGATCAATATTAACTGCACGTGGTACTTGACCTAGAGCTTCTGCCACGAGTAATGTACAAAAGCTAACTTATCATTTCAGTGCACACACGTTGGTAGGGGATATTGTCCTATGATAAGTAATATGAATAAGGTACAATCGGCAAATGTATGTGACAGAATAACGCGACAAAAGGTACACAAAATTCATTGGGCCGAATAAGACCTACTAACGGGGGAATTGACTAAGCTAATACCGTGAAATCAGCCGATGTTTGAGCAGAAAAAGAACATTCGAAACCATGTAAGTGGCATTATTACGCCACAAAAGTCGACATGGTGAACCACAGAAATTGAATTGCTCCACGGACTCATCGCCATACTGCTGCCAACATCCCAAGAGCCTAATTAAATCCGACAACAAGTAGTCCCAGTACCTAAACTACCAACTATAGGTTGACGTTGGGCCATCAAAGACTGGACCTGTAGATCGGAAGATGTCTGGTGTTGCAGGAACGCGGTCCACTTGTCGCATGATGAATGATGGATTGCGGTTCGCACGTTGCACAGTAACATCAAGCTTGTTGTAAAGGACCTCTGCCGTGACGCGGTCGTCGACTTGAAGACGTAATAGATGCTCCGTGATCAGGTTGATAATCGCCGCCAATGCTGTGTCACCCTTGCAACGAGGATCGTGGCGCAAAGCTGATATCGCCTCCATCACAGATGGGTGTATTTCTGGCACTGTACCGCGGAATCTGAAGAAGTTGGCGTTAGGTTCGTCCCTGCTGCTTGCGAAGCTAGCGACGGCATCGAAACCATGAACAATCCAGACGATGAACTCAAGGTAAATACAAGCCATGGACCAGATGTCATATCGCCGAGGCCTTGGCTTATTTGTCTTCTCAAAGGCCTCTGGTGGCTCGTATGCTGGTGTTGTCGCCTTCTCATTTGTTGCGCCCTCTCTCAGGTTCGTGGCGTACTTGTGCACCTTCGAAACCCCGACATCTGCGATGACAAGATTTCCTAGGCCGCCGTGTTTGAAGTAAAGAATGTTGGCAGGCTTGAGATCTCCATGTCGACAGTTCATGTCATGAAGCTTGCGCAGCGCGCCGCTGATACCAAGCATTTGCTGTAGCGACCACAGCAAAAATCCCTGATCCGACGTGTGTAGTTTCCAGAAGTCTCGGAGATTCCCCCCATCAGCCCACGGAAAAACAATGAAATAAGACGGCTTGCGCTCGCAGCAAAACAAATGCTGTATGAGATGTCTGTCATCGATGCCCCTCGTCTTCTGGAGGTTTTTCCTTTCCTTCTCGAACAAGACATCAGCGTCAGTCTTTTGAAATACCTTCACCGCAACCAGCAGATTCGAATTTTGCGCCTGCACGCATCGAAGGTCAGTCAAACAAACGGAAGTGCATCGTCGGTTTCAATCACTTACTCTAGCACCTTTTTGATGCGCGACATGTAGCTCACTCTTGTAAACGGTACTGCTGTGGGTACCTCGGACTGCAGTTGCCCTCAAGAAAGGCAGCGGACATTGTGCATCCACAGTCTCGGAGCCTCCTGAGAGATCCAAAACGGGTGCAAGAAATAGCCACTGCTTGTCCAAAAATATGTCCACCTTTGCGTCATTCCTCCAGTCTTGAAACGACTTGACTTTCTTTCTTCTCTTCGATTCCAAGATACTACCACTGTCGACTTGCTCTGGCCTGGCAAACGGCAAGTCGTCGTCAGTGAGACCATCGCTTACTAGCTTACGAATTGCTTGAGGCTCGCCAATCATCACAAGAATCGCGAACAGACGTTTGGCGTTCTCGACGACTTCGCTTGGAAGGCCATCGGAAAACATCCTGCTCATCAGACTTCTGGGCAGCTCATTCCTGACGGCCTCCTCGGTAATAAGATCATTCAGACTGCTGCGTGGCAAGAATTTCTGGCCAACCACAGATGAATGTTGAAGGGAGCTTTTCAGCCTTTGTAACAAAGTTTGGGGAGACATTGACTGCTGGGTAGTCATATCTGTGAGTCGCCCTTGAGAATGACACTCAATGATCATCAGAGTGTAGAGCGGAACGAGACAGTCCACCGACAGTCGCGGCGGTCTTATGAACGTCTCAGCATGTCATCTGACCAGAGGCTGTGTAAGGAAACGGGCTGTGGAATCAAGGCGGCCATGAAGGCAACCATGGAGGCAGCCCCAAGGGTGAAATCAGCGTCAAAACAAAACTGCCGAAGAAGCTCTAACGTCTACCCGGACCGTTGCTTTCACATCATAACGCCGAAACGACCTAGCGTTCACACAGCCATCGCACAGCTCACATATGCATCCACGACTCATATGAGAGGCGGCCAGGTTCTCATCACGAGCCGCGCCACTGTCCCAAAGCCTGACGGTCGGGGAGGCCCGGGGTCAGCTGGCACCCCCTTCGCATGTATGTCGCAGGAAATAAGCCACCACAATCGAATCTAGGTCCAATGATGGGCTCCCATACTAACAACTTACGCGAAAGGAAAGATAACGCGCTCGGTTCAGCCTGATTTGGCGCCTGCGTGAGTCCGCAGGCTCCGTCAAAAGATAAGATGCACTTACCCCGCTTTCTTGGCCGTGGTTTCTGCAGGCGCACGTCGTTGCGCAGACTCACGTCATCGTATTGCATGCGTGGGTGGATGCCATTCCCAGCCTGATCCCCAATCGCAACCCCTCACCTGGCCTTTCTTCTGCGGATACCAGCAGACAGACCGAGAACTTGGGACGCCCGGGAATTTCAGCGCATATGCCAGGGCTCATGCGGATCCCCTTTCCAACTCTATGCCCCGTTCCGCTTATCAAAAGGCAAAAGGTGAGTTCGTCAAATTACATTTATCTTGGATGGGATGAGAAAGCATTAGTATGAACACTTGGCCAATGCTTTCAGCTTCCTGATTCGTACGTGAAAACTGGCTGTATGCACTCATCACACCACCAGCATTTGATGCCGTTCGAAACATGGCATGTGGAGAGCCTCCGTTCCGATCCGACATTGAGGCTCAATTGTTTTGGCTTACATTGTGCGAACCAGGCGCACCAGCTTTGCTGGCACATGAAAGCCTGGCATCATCCAACAGGACGATGGCATCTGCGTGGGCCGGATGGAGCTCGGGGTTCTGGCTGGATCTTCAATCTCTTATCTCTACTTTTCAAATCTTCATAATGAAAAAAAAAAACCCCAACCCACAGTGACTCCTTGTATTCCCGAGCCTTCAATTATAAAGCTTTTCTTGAGGACTCCGTGTTTCATTCCCCAGGCGGCGGGAACATGTCTAACCATGCCAACGATGCAATCTTGCCTGCATGAAAATTGGCTTATAATCCAGGCAGAATGGTGTATACCAGAAGGCAACCAGAACTAATGGTGTAGTCATGGAGGGTGTGGTCCCGAGGAAGGGTGGGGAAAGCCGTTATCTGCTGCGCAGATGGCCACCACCAACCAGTGAGACCATGAAAATGTGTCTGCATAAGTACATTGCTGCATTCCCTGTGCCAGTCCAATCGCGCAATCTCCAATTATCCTCAATTGTTACTGTGGAGGCGATGCCACTCGCAGAAGCGTTCTTGACATGCGAGGCTTACCACTACTATGCGGCAGTGATTGGTTTTCATCACATGTGAGTAGGACCCACGGGCAGCATTGCCAAGACACATCAACTCGCAGCATAAAGCTGAGCGGGTGGCCGAAGAGGGGAAAAGCATTCGAACACAAACACCAAGTCGCAAATGTCCACGACAAGCTTCCTCGGAATCCTCCAGTAGTAGATGAACATCACAAAGACCAGGCTAGAGAGAATTCACCCAAGCCAACGGCGCGTCGAGGGTCTTCAATCAGCATATACACCAGAAGAACATCGAGTATTCCGTCTCATTTGTGGCGGAAATCATCCATCGCCAGTCTTCGGAGAGGAAGTGGCGGAAGCGACCATAGCAGCGAGATGAAGGCTCTTCTGGGCGAGTTGAGAGCGGCACAGCTTCCTGCAGGGACATCCAGTGGCACCTTTCTCCCGTACTCTGCTCTGACGGAAATAGTCACCAAGCAGGTAGTCACGAACATTCTAGCTCGTCGAAAGAGCAGATCCCAAGAGACAATATCGAAGATTGCCTCATTTGTTTGTGGAAAGCCTGAGGCAAGAAGAGTGTTTGCGATTCTTATTTACATTGGCCAAGTCAGGTTGATTGAACTTTTCTACGAGCACAACTTTGTTGATTCTATTCTACCCCTCTATATTGACGCTAGTGGCACCGTGAGGACATGGACCAACCAGAAATGCAACTCTGATATCACCAGAAAGGTCTTTTCTGACGATGTATGGGGAGAAGAGGTGGTACCTGATATCTTTTGCGACGCCCAGTGGCAATTTCTCGGGCCCATCTTCAGCGAGCGTCAGTTCAGTTACACATTTCTCCCGGAACATCGCATGCCGTTTCTGAAGCAATCAGGCGGGCATAGAGAAAGTCATTTCAGCACGGTGGGAAAGTGGTCCATTCATCGATCTCATTTCAAGACAAGCTCGAAACTCGTAAGTGCAAAGATCCCTAGACGTAATTATTCCCGTGTAGCTTGATGCTACGGTGAGGGTCTGGACCTATAACTAACAAGCAGCACAGGGCTTATCGGTTGATAAAGATGGCCATCCGATTGTAGCAGTGAAAGAGTTGAAAAGTGTCAACATGAACGACAGCGAGTACAAGCGCGCAGCCGAGACCGAAGCCGATGTTCTGGAAATGATACGAGAAATGGAACACGCACATCTCATCAAGGCGATCGCCTTTTACACGAGAGCCGATCAATATTTTATTGTTTTCCCGTGGGCAGGGGGGGGCAATCTCCGAGACTACTGGGGAAGGGAGCCTCCTCGCAAGCTCGATGGGGACTTTGTCGGATGGGTTCTTGGCCAAATCTGTGGCCTAGCTGGTGCGATAAAGAAGCTTCATTCAGCAAAGGACTCCACATGCCGACACGGGGATTTGAAGCCCGAGAATATTCTTTGCTTCGAAGACAACAAAAGCTCCGATCCGTTTGCTCAACCATTCCTTGTCATTGCGGATGTTGGTCTAGCCAAGGTTCATACTCTCGCAACCGAAATGCGCAACGAAGCTACACGTACATTGAACGGAACGGTCATGTACGAGCCACCGGAAGCTGTACTGCTGCTGACGAAGAACCGACCTCGATCACGACGATACGATATTTGGTCCATCGGCTGTATCTACTTCGAATTCCTCATTTGGCTTTTGTACGGAAAAGCCGAACTGATTCGGTTTGGGGAGGACATAACTCATCCCGTGAACAGAACCCGTCAGTTTTTTGATGTAACTGGATCCGGGGTGACTGGGGCAGCCAAGATCAAAACCGACGTTCAGAAGTGGATGGACTGGATTAGAAGGGATCCAAGATGTCCACCGAACACCGCCATTCGAAAGGTACTCGAGCTTATCTGCACGCGATTGCTAGTTATAGAGGTAAGTAAGTCCAGAACAGATTCATCTGGAAGTTCGAGTACCCAAGGCAGCACGACCCTGCATTCAGCCAATGGCCCAGATAATCCAAGCATTATTCGATCGGATACCAACAGCAGTTTTAACGGCAACGTCGCCAGCGACCTTCGTTATCGAGCGACCTCCATCGAGATGCATGAAACGTTGGCCGGTATCCTAAAGGATGCTTCGGGCACGAAGCCAAAGATCGCATGGATGAATTGGCAGGCCAGATCTCCTGGGGGGCCGGGACGCTACGGAGATACCTTGGGTGTCTCTCAATCAGCTCAATCAGGTACAGGAAGGCCGCCGCGGCGTTAGTTCATGAGGTGAAGAGTAACTTTCCTAGGATCTCATTCCCCTCCAATAACCAATCCGGTGGTAGACGTCAACGCCGACTTGGCGAGTGCAAATGACAGTGGTCACTCCAACGATGTAAGAGCCCCTTATCCAATGGATTGCAATATTGTATACTGACATTTACAGTACGTACGTTTACCCATACTGGTGTAAAGCTGTGCGATCCTGGCTGATGATTTCCGCGGGGTAGATGGTATGAGTTCTGCTTCATCAACTAACCTTCGAATCTCAACGTACCTGGAAAGCTAATATTTCATTAGTTTGTACGTCAGAAGCCATTAACAACATGTGTTCTGTGCTAATGGTCACCGATTCAACAGACGGTATGTCTCCTCAAGGTCGAAATACTGGCCTGACATACTGATATCTGGTGCTGTGATGTTTATGCTAATATTGCAACGCTGTGTAGCCAGTAAGCCCCTTGCGGTCTTGGTAGCAGCTACACGTTCTGACCAGCCATGTTCTTCCAGCTTGATAATGAATGGGAGTGTAGCCCGGATGTCAACACAGCACGAGAGCTGTCCAATGAAGTCGACATCTCTCGCCCACTACCATCGACAAATACGACTGCCAACCTTTGCCCTCAATGCAAAGATCTCCAACAGCGGCTCTGGTCCCGAAGCTTCTCCTTTTCTGACAACCTCGAAGCGCTGGCGAACAGGGTGAGAGTTTGTGATCTCTGTCGCCTGCTTTGCTTTTCACTTGAACCCATGATAACCAAGACCTATGGGGAAATTCATTTCGAGAAGTTCAACAGCTATTTGACGTCAAATCTGAGACCCGGACGGCCAGTCGCAGTCTTCTACAGTCTACCGGGTGAGGACGATAGCAGTTCCGCTTGTTCATACCCTGCTAATTCTGACTCTCAGAGAAGCCTCTACTTGGTGCACAGATGGGTATGCCCATGCTTCCGCCTGCTGGCAGTCCGGCGCATATCGCAGTACTATCGACCTGGATGCGGGTCTGTGACGATACGCACGACTGTAGTCCAATAACAGACACCACCTTTCTTCCGACGCGAGTTATCGATGTTGGATCTGAGAGCTTTGAAACGTGCCGATTGCTTTGCGCAGATCGTGGGCAAACGAACCCGGGGAAATATCTAGCACTGTCGCATCGATGGGGAGCCCCAGACCAACATAGGAAATTTTGCACTCTCAAGAAAAATATGGAAAGCTTCAAGGAGGAAATCAAGATGACTGATCTCCCCCAAACCTTTCAAGATGCCATCAAAGTCACACGAAGCCTCGGTATTGGGTACCTCTGGATTGATTCGCTCTGCATCGTCCAAGATGACCCTGAAGACTGGAAGATGGAATCTCGTCTGATGGAACAGGTTTACAGTTCAGCCTACGCGACTCTAGCAGCTAGCTGCGCAAGCGGAACCGAGGATGGCTTTTTAAAGCCTCGACCATGGAGACATTGCGTTACGTTAGAGTCCGGCAGGGGCTCCTACTACGTCTGCGACTCGATCGACGACTTTGGGCGAGACGTTGAACAGGGCGAGCTGAATAAGCGCGCCTGGATTCTCCAAGAACGAGCTTTATCCCGTCGCACAATCTACTTCTCGGAAAAGCAGACGTACTGGGAGTGTGGAAGGGGTGTAAGGGGTGAAACAATGACGAAAATGAGAAAGTAAGTCTAGCTCAGTCTGCTTTTATCAAGTCTGGGCTTGACTGACTTTTCGATTTTCCAGCCGGAAAGCCTCGTTCCTGGGGGATTCAGACTTCCCCCACTCCATCGACACCTACGTACGAGGAATGAAAATTGAGCTTTATCAAGATCTCTACCAGAAGTACTCGGGGCTAGCACTTAGCTCGATCGGTGACAGGCCCGTTGCCATCCGTGGGCTTGAGACACGCCTCATCCGCACCTTCAAAACTGTCGGTGCTCATGGAGTCTTTGATACCTTTTTTCATCGATGTTTGCTATGGCAAAGAGCGAAGCGGAGCCTGAATCGGATCGAGTTGGAATTGCTCAGGGGCGTTCATGTTCCTTCATGGTCATGGATGGCTTACGACGGTGAGATTAGATACATGAGTGTTCCCTTCAACAGATATTCCTGGGAAGCGGACATCATCTCGCCGTTTAAAGGTTGGTCATCCCAGAGCATGAAAGAGAGAGGTGAAGCAGAAGCGGTCTGTGAGATCAAGGCGCCTGTATGGGAGTTTGGTGACTCGAATGACCTTCAGCTGGAACTTGACACTCCAGACAGGACTTCACCCAAACTCAAATGTGTGATAGTGGCGAGAGGGAAGGACTTACAAGGCAAGCCGCAACAGTCACATTACATAATAGTTGTGCAATTTGTCGCGAATGACGGGCTCTACGAGGTGTATGAGAGAGCTGGGGTTGCGGAGGTCAGAGGAGAGCAGATTGCATTTCATAAGGGAAGTCGGGCGGGCGTTCTCAGATGATCTTAGTTATTCAAGGCAGAGTTTCTTTCTTACGAGTCCTGGACCGGACAGCCCATTGTTCGGGAATATTTCACTTCAGCACAACTCGAGTCTAGTGTGATAAATAACCACGAGTTATTGAGCCCGGGGAGATTCAAAGCCTCGACCATTTTACAGCCATATTCCCGGCAATGCCCGGTGTCTTTCTCCGGATACCCCTGCTGGTCGGGACCCCTCCCGCGGAAGCCCCTCCGACTTATCAATGCTGTCCGTATCTTCTTTATTCAACGATATTATCCGCCCCCAGAGTTCCGGCTGAGGGGTTCGGATGCTAATGATACCTTATCTTCCAGTGGGGTAAGGAGGATCGTTGGAGAGAGGCCGTCACGCGGTTGCAACGTGCCGCCGTTGTCAAGGGATCCCAACGGTGGATTTTAGAGTTCGACGGTAATTGGACAAGCATTCGCCGTGCCGGGACGAGACCTGTCAAGACGATAAGCGGGAACGCCTCCTCTCCCCTCCCCCCTCTTTCCGGGGAAAACGGGCAGCCATTTCAAAAGTTCCACCCTCCCCCTCCCCCAGCCTCGGTCTAGATAACTGGCCACGAACGAGAGCGATTCCGCCTTTGGAATTGGGTGGGGAGGACGCGCCTCTGATAACGATTGCTCTCGAGCTGGGATCCATGGCACGTTACGGTTGAATGCTCGGGTGACCGTTATCATTACCATGGGCGACGTAGGCAACTTCCTTCTTCGGGGATTAGCTGGTCTCGATTCAATTGACCAATGGACTTATATGAGGGACTCGTCGGGCCATTTCATGCCATGGCGACTGTTTCCCCTCTTCTCCCCGCAGACCGACGACGTCCGGTGACTCTTGGAGATTCGAGGAGTTGATGAGCCATTGGGCTCAACTGGTCTCGTACTACTGACCCCCATACACCCCAGCAGCCGCACATACTTCCACCACAAACGAGATGGCGACTCCTGACTCGGCACCCGTAGTGGTCGCCGATGAAAAGCATCATGGCGTAGACGTGTCCCAAGCAGCCGACGACCTGGAGAGATTTCAACGCGACCACCAATGGGACCCCAATCTTTCCCCTGAGAAGGCCGACATGGTCAAGAAGGCGCTTCAAGATGGAGATTCTGAGGAGATCATCACCGCCGACACCATCCTCACGGAAGACTCGCCCTACGAAGAGGTCAGAGCTGCAGTCCGCAATACCGATGGTGAAGAAGTGGCGAACACGGTCCGCGCCTGGGTTCTTGGAATGATTTTCGTTACGATCGGCAGTGGACTGAACATGTTCTTGAGTATGAGGTACGGGACACAGTGGGCTCTAAGAAGATGCAGAGTAACCGCTAACTGGAACTTGTCAAACAGGAGTCCAGCCATCAACTTCCCCTCAATCATCGTCCAGTTGCTCGTCTACCCGATCGGTTGCCTGTGGGCAAAAGTGATGCCGACAAAGGTGTTCAACACATTCGGCCTCCAATGGACTCTTAACACCGGACCTTTCACAATTAAGGAGCACGTAGTCATCACCCTGATGTCCAACGTTTCGATCAGCTACGCCTACAGCACCGACGCCCTTCTCGCACTGCAGGGCAAGCCCTTCTACGATATCAACCTGGGATGGGGCTTCCAACTGCTCTTCACTCTCAGCTCTCAGCTGATTGGCATCGGTCTCGCAGGTCTCTGCCGCAGATTTTTGGTCTGGCCATCCGCCATGATCTGGCCGAACCAGTTCGCCAACACGTCCCTCTTCTACGCCCTGCACGATAAGAGCAAGAGCGACGGCACCCACAGCAATGGCTGGGTCATCAGCCGATACCGATATTTCTTCTACGTCCTGGGAGCCATGTTCGTCTATTACTGGATCCCTGGCGTCCTTTGGCAAGGCCTGTCAGTATTCGCTTTCATCACATGGATCAAGCCGAACAACGTGGTGGTGAACCAACTCTTCGGAGGCTTCACTGGCCTCTCGCTGATCCCCATCACGTTTGACTGGACTTACGTTTCCGCGTATCTTGGTGATCCTCTCCTGTCTCCGACGCATACTCATATCAACGTTCTGATTGGGCTCTTCGTCTTCGTCATTCTCCCGACCATCGGCATCGCCTACACAGGCGCCCTGTTCTCGGAATACCTACCCATCAACACCTCGCAGACATACGATAACACCCAAGGCAGCTATAACGTGAGCAAGATCCTTGGTGCAGGATACACATTTGATGAGGCGAAATACAAAGAATACTCGCCCCTCTTCCTTGCCCCAACATTTGCCCTTAACTATGGTCTGTCTTTCGCCGCTCTTACCGCAGCGATTGTTCACACCGGTCTTTTCCACGGAAAGGAGATTTGGTATCGACTCAAGACAGCCCGCAACCAGGAGCCTGATATTCACATGAAACTGATGAAGAAATATCGCGATGCGCCTGAGTGGTGGTATGCTGTCCTTCTCGTCATTGCCGTTGGCCTTGGTCTGGCTACTGCTGAGGGCTGGGACTCGCAACTGCCATGGTGGGCATTCTTCGTCGCAAATTTCCTGGCGACAGCTTTTGTTGTCCCAACATGCACGATTCTGGCCATCTCGAACTTGCCGCTCGCCCTCAACGTGCTCTCTCCATTCCTGGCTGGATTCATGATTCCAGGAAAGCCCATCGGTGTCATGATCTTCAAGGTTTACAGCACAATCACCCTCGGTCAGGCACAGACGTACTCGGGAGATCTCAAGATGGCTCACTACATGAAGATCCCCCCACGCATCACGTTTTGGTGCCAGGTCGTC